AAAGACAAGGGCTTTAGTGTGATTCTAATTTTGTCAAATGCTCTGATCCGTCCCCTGTTAGCTATGTAACTATGGGTAATTAGTTTATTATGCTACACATCAATTTCCTCATCTATAAAATGTATTGTTCTGAAAGTTAAATGATAGGATAGAAGGAAAGTTCAATGTCTGGCAAAAAAAATGTTAGGAAAAAATTGGCTGAAGGAAAAATATGCTTTCATCATTAGTGAAATAAATGGGTAGAATGAAATACACACATGTACACGTAAATGCAATCTCTTTGAAAAAGTGTCATCCTTATTTTTGAGATAAATGATATGTCTATAAAAGAGATAAAACACATGAAGTTTAAATGCAGTCTATTTATAAATCAAATAAGTGCATTACTTTATATATGCAGAACTGCACATTCTTACATGGAGAAATATGAGATGTTATTTTTCTCATAGCAGAAATTTAGTACAGAAATCTTCCACTTAGTATTTAAACTAGACATTGGGGAAGAAGATATTTTTAAAAATTAGGTAACCTGGGGCTTAGAAGAGACCCCAGAGACATTCTAAAACAACCATTCATTTGATATTTTAATCTCCTCAGCAGTATTCTAGCCAAGCAATCATTCTGTCTATGTTTGAACACCTGTTGTGACAAACAACACCACATATTGCCTGCCAAGACTGTCTCAAGCATCTTCATTATTCAAAGCTAATATTTGGTTTATACAGAACAAAATATGATCACTTTCGCCTTTATTTATTAATCCTTTTGGAAATTAAAATAGAGGAAAATCCTTCGTCATAAAAGGCTTTAAATAAGCAAAGATAATTATTATGCCTCTTACTACCACACATAACACACACATACATGCACATACAGATACCCACACATACAGACACATACACACGGCTTTCCCTTTCAGAGAAATTTCTAAGGGCCATGAACCTATCACCTGGCTATAAAACTTTGTACCACATTAACTAGATTCCTCTGTACACGTTGGAGGAACTTTATTTTTTGTGATTATTGTCCCCACCTATTTGTAAAAAACCCCTTCCATAATTGGTTTGGTAGACAGTGAAATTATCAGCTCATGTTTCTATTCTGTCATAGGACCTATCAAGTATGGACAAGTCATTTTAATTCATACTTTCTTTTACTACTTTACTATTTCCTTTTCCTACATCTCTCAAGTTATTTTATTGACCCAAATGTTAGAAATGACATATTTTACATGGTTACACTAAAACTACTCTACCAGGATGTTGATACACTTTAGGTTACAAAATATTCATCTAGTTCATTATTTATTGCTATGGCTTGAATGTTTGTGTTCACTCCAGATTTATATGAAGAAGGCTAATCACCAATGATATGGTGTTAGGAAGTAGTGCCCGTCTAAATAAAAGGCTTCAGAGAGCTGTTCCTTCCACCACGTGAGGACACAGCGAGAATGCTCCGTCTATGAACCAGGAAGTGGGCCCTGGCCAGACACCAAATCTGCCAGCACCTTGATCTTAGATGTCTAAGATTCCAAAATTTGAGAAATAAATTTCTGTTGTTTATAAGCTACCTAGTTCATGGAATTTTGTTATAGTGGCCTAAATAAACTGAGACATCTATCTATTAGAGTTTCATGATACATACAATTTTTTAATTTTTTATTTTTTCATATTATGGGGGTACAAATATTGTTAGGGTTACATATGTTGCCCCTGCCATTCCTCCCCCACCACCACCAAAACATCAAGCATGCCCTACCCTCAGGTGGTGCACATTGCACCTATTTTGTAAGTATAAATTCTTCCCCTCCTACCCCCTCCCATTTGCCTACCACCCAATAAAAGTTTGTTTGTTTGTTTTATCCCCCCCCTTTTTTTTTACCTTTTGGTTACATTGTATATCTTAGCCTTTCCCTTGGAAGGGTTAGATGTATTCCCTACCCTCCCCCCCAATATGATCACCACAACCCTAAGATGTGTATCTCCCCCTCCCCCAAACCCTAGTGGGCAGTATCCCCATTTGAGCATCATAGTTTTAATCAGTCAGTACCAATTTAATGGCGAGTAGATGTGGAGCCCGTTTTCTTGATCTTGTGTCACCTCACTTTGGATATATTGCAAGATCATGGAAACAACCCAAGTGTCCGTCAATTCATGAGTGGATAACTAAAATTTGGTATATGCTCACAATGGAATACTATTCAATTCTAAGAAATGACAGTGAGTTAGCACCATTTATGCTATCCTGCATTAAGCTTAAATATATACAAATTTGACAAGCATTTCCTCTGTAATCTAAAAAGATACAACACAGAGTCAAAAATGTCCAAATGTCCTTCATTTGCTTTTATTTTGAAAGGCATACACTTGTGTAAGAAAATATGCTAATGTACTTGGGCCATATTTATCATTGGGAGACATAGGCTAAATACATGAATATAGACAATGTATAATTGAATATTACAGTCAGTTATGTTAATAAACTCAGCTGGTAATAAGTAAAAGAATAATATATACACAGAGGACATATTTTAAAACAACAGCAGCAAAGAAAAATGGTCAACAACATAAAAGAGGAACAACTTGACATGGGGGCACTGCTGACAAAAATGGTGATAAAGTGAGGCAAGCACTGAAAATTTGAGAACATGATCAATACATTATATGAATATCTTTTCTCTTTTAGCAAAAGCTTGCCATACACCAGTTGTGAGTCAACCAATTGTAATATAGAGTGAAATGATAATAATTAATATTATGGTTATAATTTGTGGTACAGAATAATACAAAAAGCAGAGGATAGAACCAAAATGATAGATCTCCATGCCAAAAACAACGAACAGACAAACAATGAAAAAGTAACCAACACTACTTGCTTAAGATCTTCAGCATTTTGGAGAAGTAAAATATGAAAATTCAGACAATATAGACAGCCATCTGTCATGGAATCATGTAAACAAATTAGGTGTAGAAAAATAGCAGAATTTATTAGGGAGAATATAGAAATCAAAAAATCAATGTAGATGCTTTATTGTGTAAGAAATCAAGTTATTATACTTCCCACTGACTGGGAAGTTAGGAGAAGGAGGAAATACAGTGACATAAAATACTTCTAAAAATACTAAAATAACCTCATCTTGTATTTCACTGAATATACAACTGATTGCATGACACACTTCCTTTCCTGTGAAACTAAGAAAGATAACACCTGCTAATACAGTTGTATTGAAGCATGCTGTAGGTAAATAGAAGAGATGAAAGTAGGTCTCAAGATGAGTAGAAACACTTTTGGACAAACTGATTTATGATCTTTACTTTAAAAAATGTATAGAAAATGTGAATAAGAAATGGGAGGTGATAATAATATAGGCAGAGGAAATGAGAGAAGATTAGAGAAGATAAAGTGTATGGTGTGTGTTTGAAATAAAGCAATTATTAAGTATTACTGTTGTATAGGAATCAATGCAAAGAGTGAGAGTGTGAGCTGACGAGACTGCTATAGACCAAACTCATCCTGTGTTCTGGGCTAAAACAGTTGAATTTAATTGGATAGGGAGTCACTAAGTTTCTCATTAGGGAAATAATACAATTTTGGGTTTGTTATTTTTAAGCATACTTACAATAATACAGAAGATGTTTTTCAGGGAGAAGGATTAAAATCAAAGACGGATTTCTACTATTAAAATAGTCCAGATGAAGATAATGAGAACCTGAAGCAAGATAATGATAGTAGGACTAAAAAGGCAGGGATAGATTTTAAAAAAATATTAATATTAAAAAATCATAAAAATTGTTCTATATTTAAGAAGTTTATCTTGGATATGTCAGTAATAATATTTTCTAGGATTATAAGGGACTTTTTGCAGTATGGAAACATCTTAATTGATTGTGAGCATCAATGAGAGTTTGGATATTAGAAGAAAAGACAATGGGGAAGAATACAGACCTGTGAATTATATTCAACGTTTTGAACTGCAACATGGAGTATTATAAGGGCAGATTATATTTCCTTGAAAAAATAAAATTAAAATAAGACTTATTTCATTTAAATTATATTATAAATTCTCAGGGATCTGGTATTCAGATTGAAGTAAAAGAAGAAAGCAAAATATTGCCTTCTAGAGAAGGCATCTGTGCAGTGGGAAACAGAGATTTTCCATCCTGCACAAAGACTCTCTGAGGTTAGAATATTAAACAGAAAGTTTCCTAAAAGGTACAAAACTTTAATCCTGCTTTAAGGAAAAGGCTATTAAAAACAGAAGATTAGAAATAAAATCCCCATGGTAAAGCACACAAGTATTCAGAATATAATCTCTGAAATGCAAAAAGAATAATATGATTTCAATAGATAATTGAAAATTAATTTGTATTCTAAGCAATTGTAACTGTATCAGTTATATTTGAACAATGAAATTCAAGTGAATCATGCAGAAATTAAAGTTAATAACTGGTATAGATTCCATTTCATTTGTGTACTCTCTGTACGTGATATAGTTGCCTAAAAGGACAGTGGGTTCATCATTAAGAAATGACTTTTCCATTTGGGTCTATGAATTGATTTATTAGGAAACAATAATGGTTTCCTATTAACACATATGACAGTTACTACCATGTCATGATAGTCATGATAAATATTCATCATATGTATTTTTTATATTTCATTCACATAAAATGATTCAGATTGGAGATTTCATGAGATATATGGAAAATAGTTCTCAAATTAGACTTCTGATAACAGATTGTCAGTCATCTCTGATAATGTGGTATCACATTAAACCATATGAAACTGTCCTTTTTAATAGGTCAGAAACTGTAATATGTCAGGAATTTTATATAGTTCTATTTTAAAATATCAGAAATTAGTTTTATAAATTTTATATTAAATTACTTCCAGAATATTTTTAAAAGATTAAAACAAATTTCATGTAATCCTAGGATAATAAAAGATGTACCTATCAATTATTTTCACAAATTCTCTCTCCAACAAACCCACCCTCACAGATGAAGGTCTCCCCTCTGAAGAAGTAGATCTACTGGAAGGCATCACTACCATGAGGTAACCAGGGACACAGAATAAGAAATGTGATTACTTCAACATTCCTGGGTAAAGTATTTAAATAAATAATATGGGCTAATTCTTTGAAGACTATATATTTTTTGTGCTTAAATGTCAGAACATAAAGAGCCATGGTATATCAACTGACATGATGCAAAATACCCTAGTTATAGGCTGTGCTAACATATTTTCAGGATATCCCCCAAAATCCAAACAATAGTATAAACAAATACTGATTTTATATCAGTAAATGCCAAAATCAATTGATGGTTAGATATTCTTGAAACCACTCTCCCACTCTTACTTATCATGTACCTATCATAATTATCAATTATGTTACCATGTTGATGATGGTTTCTAACTATCTCAAAAGTCCACCCACTTCTTTCCATCATCCATGACTCTACCAAGTCAAACTTCCTGTGGTGAACAGATGCAAAGAAGATCATCAGACTCTGACTGCTGGTATTCAGTCACTTGCATAACTCTTCCTGTCTGCTCCTCCATTAGTTTGATTACTATTGAAAATAAACTATGGCCTGTTTCCTAACAATACAATATAAAAAATATAATGGGATGTCATAACATTATGACATCTGTCTTGCTAGGAGACTCTTTCTCTTGCTGGCTTTGCTGACGCAAGCTCCCATGCTGTGAGCTGATGTGTATAAAGAAGTCCATGTGACAAGGAACTGAGGCTGACTTTGGGCCAACAGCTAGCAAGGAACCAAGGCCCTCATTGAAACAGGCATCAGAGCTGTCAGGAAACTGAATTCTGTCAACCATCAAGTAAGCATGACAGTGGATCCTTCCCCAGTCATAGCTTCAGATAAGACTTCAGCCATGGTTGACAAATTGCATATGAGAAACCCATAGCAGAGAGCCCAGTTAAACTTTGCCTGTTCTCTTGACTCACAGAAACTGTGGCACATAAAAATGTGTTTTAAGTGTCTACATTTGTGGTAATTTATTATTGGAAATAGAAAAAACAATTACTATCACTCTCACATGGAGCACTACTATCTTAATAGCATCTCCTTTGGCTCCACCAGAAACATTCTTCACAACTTAGCCATAGTTGCTCATACAAAATGCAAACTTAATCACATCACTTTCTCTCTCTCAGCTATGTATACTGTTTAAAATCCTGCATTGAATGACTTCTCATTGATTCTTAAGAAACTGATATTTTCTCATTATGACCTGAATATGTTGCATACATGAGCCTTACCTATTTCTCCAGTCTCCCATTATTCTCCTTAGGTGTTTTTTTTTTTGGTTTTTTGTTTTTTGTTTTTTTGTTTTTTTAGATCCTTTTATTATCCATGCAGTTAAAGTCAGGAAATAATTGGGTAAAGTGTTTCCTATCTTTTGTATAACTTAGTTAAAGTTATATTTCATGACAGTTTTAATTGCATGGGTATAACTCAACAAAGAAACTTGATTTTGATATATTTAAATAGTGTCAAATGAGGCCGTGGTGTCCATAAAGATATTACTATTGCTGGGTTCTATGACAGTCCCATTCTGTTAAATATTTTGATCTTGGGTATAAGAGAAACTAAAAATAATACATATTTAATTTCCAGATAACATAATATTAAGAGGAATAGTTAATACAAGAAAGAAAAAAGTATTTCAAAATATTGGACAATTGGAATAAGCAAAACTGTGTTTCAGTTTCTTCACTATTAGTGAACAATTTTTCATTAGCAAAATAGACAGTACTTTATATTGTGTTTACATATAACCTCATAAGGTCATAAGAAAAATTAAATAAGTCATTGCATAGAAAGCATTTAGTTTTATGCCTACCACAGAGTAAGTGTTAAAAATAAATGGGACATGATCAAACTACAAAGCTTCTGCACAGCCAAAGAAATAGTCATGAAAGTAAACAGACGACCTACAGAATGGGAGAAAATTTTTGCATCCTATGCATCCGATAAGGGACTGATAACTAGAATATACTTAGAACTCACGAAAATCAGGAAGAAAAAATCAAATAACCCCATTAAAAGTGGGCAAAGGACTTGAACAGAAACTTTTCTAAAGAAGACAGAAGAATGGCCAACAAACATATGAAGAAATGCTCAACATCTCTAATCATCAGGGAAATGCAAATCAAAACCACAATGAGATATCACTTAACCCCAGTGAGAATGGCCTTTATCAAAAAATCTCCAAACAATAAATGCTGGCGTGGTTGCGGAGAGAGAGGCACACTCCTACACTGCTGGTGGGACTGCAAACTAGTTCAACCTCTGTGGAAAGCAATATGGAGATACCTTAAAGCGATACAAGTGAATCTACCATTTGATCCAGCAATCCCATTGCTGGGCATCTACCCAAATGATCCAGTGACACTCTACAAAAAAGACACCTGCACTCGAATGTTTATAGCAGCACAATTCATAATTGCAAGGCTGTGGAAACAGCCCAAGTGCCCATCAATCAAAGAATGGATTAATAAAATGTGGTATATGTACACCATGGAGTACTATTCAGCTCTAAGAAACAATGGTGATATAGCACACCTTATATTTTCCTGGTTAGAGCTGGAACCCATACTACTAAGTGAAGTATCCCAAGAATGGAAAAACAAGCACCAGATATATTCTCCAGCAAACTGGTATTAACTGAGTAGCACCTAAGTGGACACATAGGTGCTACAGTAATAGGGTATTGGACAGGTGGGAGGGGGGAGGGGGGCGGGTATATACATACATAGTGAGTGAGATGTGCACCATCTGGGGGATGGTCATGATGGAGACTCAGACTTTTGGGGGGAGGGGGGGAATTGGCATTTATTGAAACCTTAAAATCTGTACCCCCCATAATATGCCAAAATAAAAATAAATAAATAAATAAATAAATATGTGTTTAAAAATGTAATTCAGCCCCAAGAGAAATTCTCCTATTGTGGTAACGTTAGGGAACTTATTATAGATCACTATAGAGAGACAGTTTTGCTGGCAAGAGTATGGAAAAATCTTAGTTTTAAGACCCAGCTTCTACCACTAAACGATCAAATAAAGGCAGAAGCTAAGTCAGAGTCACTTAACGACTACTTCTGAGTATTTCATCTTCACCTAAAAGATGCACATTCATGCACATTCACCTAAAATGGGAAACCTCAGGCTATGACCATGTTCTCCTTCAGGATAGCTATAGGACATTATGGAGATGGGAAATTAGTGTTGCTACTTCTTACTTTGTTCAGAACATGAAATCAGGAATACCTCTTCTTAATGATTTTGTATTTAAGTGACCAATTAAAAATATGGAGAAAGGCTGATAAAAAAACAGTGGGATAAACTTTCTTCCAATTAATAAGCACAAAAATTTCTCAATGTGGAAACGAGGCATGAGTAGTTTTTTGTCAGGTGATTTTAAAGTGAAGTTAGGTTTTAAAACTGTAGGAGTCTAGCCAACCCCAGGAACAGAAGAGGAAAATTTTCTAGATATATGAGGATTACAAATTCATCCAAGAGTAAGTTGCATGATTAACACTTTATTATTATCAAGATAACCAATTTTCTTTGGAACTGAACATTGTCTTTTCTATTTTCCGTCATGAGTATTATGGCTAGCTTCATTTTATTCATTCAGAGAAAGGTCACTTATAAAAAGTAATGGGAAGACAATTCATTGATATATCACAAACATTTCATGATATGTTCTTATTAAAAACTGAGAAGAGATAATATTCCAGTAAAAATATGATATGCTAAATCAAAATTATAAAATTATTATAAAAGTTTGTAATTAGAAATTGCATGTATCATGCTTATAAATTTTAGAAAGAAAAAATGATAAACATACTTAATACTATGGAATTCTACACTTAAAAATGACTTAAGTGGTTAATTTTATATTATGTATATTGTTCCACAAATTAAAAATAAAAAGATATTTTAATGAAATTTTAACAGTAAATGATTAGTTATATCAATGTATTTGAGACCATATTTGGATTGATAACAGGAAATTGGGATTCTAATTCAATTATCAGTGAACCCATCATTTCTTTATAATCAATCACAATTCATCAAAACAGAATTGGACTGACCAGAAGGTTCCATTGATGCAATATTCTATATTAATCTATATGTCAATCTAGGGACTGGGAATTCATAATGCTAATGTAGCTGTTTACGTTACCACAAGGAATTACCATATAAAATATGCAATTTATCTTAATGTTGTCATAACAATGTAGAATCCATTTATTATTCATGTCGTTGTACTGACAGTATCAAAATGATACTAATAGTATTGGCCTTTCCACCTTCATTTAAATTGTAAACATCTAGAGGTAACTCATCCTACTGTGTCTGTTTAATGCAGTTTGTATATAACAGCCATGAAAATAATGGCTAGTAAGAGTTCTTATTAAATATACATAAATCATGATAATTTTCAAGTCATAACATATTATTTATGCCTAATTTAAGTAGAATATAGAATATTCAAATGTATATTTATATGCATGTACTTTATAACTTTCTTATGAACTTATTGATTATAAAATGTTATAATGTTTTCTAAAATGTTAAGATAACCTTCAAAGAAAAAAACTTTTACTGGATACTTATGTCTATTTAGAGATACTTTTCATTTTATTGAAATATTCACATTAAGCTTATTGATATGCTTTATTTTCATGCAAAAAGTCATACTTTTACTTATTATTCACAATCTAATGATAGTTTTAAGTTTTGTTTATTCTATAATCTGTCAACTATTTATCTATCAATCTATCCATTTGAAAGTAAGCTACAAATGTCATGAAATTCATCCTTAAATATTTCAGCATGCATCTCCTAAGAACAAGGATGGTCTTCTAAATACAGTATTATTATAACACCATATAAAATTCATATTGATTTAATAATGTCTAATATAGAGTCTGTACTTAAGTTTTCCAATTTATCAATGATATACTTTTTAAAATCTAGGATCCAATCCAGATTCACATATTACATTTCACAGTTATTTCTCCTTAGTTTCTGTAGAATAATATTTTGTCTCAGAATGTGTTTTGAAGAGTATAAAGCTACTTGTCTTTTAGCATATTCTACATTCTAGCTTTGCCTATTGTTTTCTTAGAATTAAATTTAAGTTAAAGTTAATTACTTTTTCAGGAGAGATTATTATGTAAATGATATTATTGTATCAAACCAGGAGATACCTAATATCAGGTTATTTCATTACTGATTATTCTAAGTTTTGTCATTTAATTTAAACAGTAACTGTGAGATCGATCCCTTTTTCTCTAACGCAAGTATATAACCCATACGATAGTATTTGGATTTGAATATCCTGATAACACATTTTCAGACTATTAATTAGATAGATTAGATCTGGCTAATCTATGATAGATTAAAACATGGGGAAATTTTTCATTCCTGATTCTTGGATCTGGACTTGGCCATGTGGCTTGCTTGGTCCAATGGGATATCAGTGGGTGTCATGAAAACAGAGGCTTGAAACATCTTGTCTAGTTGGGGTTATTCTTTTGCACTGTTGCCTTTCACCATGAAAAGAATGTGACTTGGATAACCACCGGTCCATGGAGAATGAGAAACACATGAGAGCGAATGATCCCAATTTACTACCTGGAGTAAATCACAATCCCAGCTGACCCAGATGTGTCAGGTATGTGAGGGAGAAATAAATGTTCTTTGTATATGCCACAACATAAGATTGCATAAGACTGAAATGTAATATATACTGATGATATTTTACTTGATTTAGTTATTACTTTGGGGCTTCCAAAGTAATAATTTTCTCGTTTTTCTTTCCCTTTACACTTATTAGCTTGCCTAAAAAGTTTTTCTCCCTCTCTCTTTCTCTCTCTTGGACACACACACACATACACACAATCTTCAGTTTTTGTGAGTCACTATTGATTTATGGATATTTTGCCAATATATTATAATCTATTTCCATCATTTTTCTTTTTGAAACAGAAATTATATCAAATTGTACAGGAAGATAACCACAATATCCATGATACTGGTTGTTGTGTTCTCTTGTCATGACGCTATTGTCTCTGAGCATTTCTTTGCTTTCTGCAATAACAGTATATTCACTGTTTGTCCAGACCTAGAATCACCCATATTCCCAAGGATCTCTGAACCATTTCAGTGGGGAATGGTACTTAAAATCAAGATACGGATTCTGTGCATGTTCAATCCCATAATGGATAACTGTTTCTAGGCTCTAGTTGAGGACATACCTAAAGAATATAAATATATATAAAATATATAATATACATCATAGTTAATTTATGATTTAATTCAGATGCCACCAATGCAAAGCCAATATTATGCATCTTTTCTATCTAAAAGCCAAAAACATTTCTAGAGAAATACACTTGAATCGTTTCCCACTAAAAGAAAAAAAAGAAAGAAAGAAAATAAAAAGATAGTTTAAGTAACTGAATAAATTATAAGAGACAGATGGATTTGAAAAGAAACATTGGGAAAGAAGCAGCTGCTTAGGACCAAAGAACATCCATGGCACCTGTTCTTTTGTTTCCCTTATTTCTAAACACTGCAGTTTGCATTTTTTTTTCCTCCCAGTTGTCTCTGCCTTTGCTCATTGTAATTCTCTTTATATATTTTCATCTTTTCTGTCTTCCTTTTTTTTTCTTATATAATCCTCAATTTAGTCTTTTGTCTCTCATTTGTTATCTGTACCATGTGGAAATTATAGGGAAGTGAGCGGTTCTTTTAATTTCCAACTCGATCTCTAAATTTATCTACCAAAGACACCAATACCTTCTCTAAAAAAAACTCTGAAACATAAAAGAAATTTAATAATAAGGGTAACTTAGTTATACTTTCTGTAAGTAATTTTTGCAAAACTTAGCATATATAAACTTTCACTCTTTTTTGTTCCAAAAGCAAAAGAATACTTTATGGTTAGTACTAAGATACATATTTTCTGAAAAGTCAGTACAGTAAAAGATTTGATGAGACAATCAACTAAATCCTATGTGCTGCCTCCTTGCTGAAATACAGATACAAAATCCTAGCTTCCACAATTGAAATTCACTATCATGCACAACATACATTCTCTGCCAGAAGTTAGATCCGTTAAATGATAATGAAAATGCTTTGCCATTATAATGATGCTCATGCATTTTATACTAACTTTCTAAGAAGAAAGCAGAGTAATGGAAAGACTTCCATGGATTATCTAGCAAAGCTCTTTGCCTTTTGACATGCTGCAACCAAAACGTAAAACTTTCTCAGTCTCACGATATCAGTTAATTCGGGATTATTTACTTAATTCTGAAGACACAGGTAACTGGCATAAAATACCACTTGCACTTCTGAATTTTTACATGAATCCATATTGACAACATTTCTCCCATATTTTTCTCTGTTTACCCAGTGATAATGCCATTATACTTTCTTTTCTTTCCGTAAGGATTTATGATTACATTCTCACCTCACAGCACATGACTAGCTCATCCTTATAGACACTTTGCAGCAAATATTAGTTTGAATTTTGCCTCTCTGTTTTTCAGACCTGGTCTTCAACTTAATATTTTAGTGTTTAGGCACACCCTTTCCTTTCCTTATTCTAGCATATACATTTTAAATATTGACATTATAATAAACTGAAATTCACACTTCCTTTACATGTTTAAATTGTACATTTATATAGTAATTATGAACATTATTGATCTCTATAAAAATCTATAGTTACCTTAAAGTTCTTCCTAGCTTTCTTCAGTAAGGAATAGATATATTTTAGAATAAGTTATGCTTACTATTATAAAATACTCAACAAACCTAGTTCATTAATTCTAATTCATTTTTCTTTAATTCATAGAATTACAGAATTCTAGACCCCAATTTTTTATGCTTATGGTTCTAGTGGCTCCTAAAGATCAAATTTGAGTTATAGAAATTTAGCTGAAGGTTAACCTAGGATTTTCAAACGTTACCCATGCCTTCATAAATAACAACAGAAACAACAACAGCTTGTGGAGACCTGGTTTGTGTAAAGACAGGCTGGGTTAGGAGGTCACCTTGTGAGAATGAGCTGCACAGAAGGCATCTGTCCAACTGATTGTTTATTTGGGATTAAGACTTATTTCTGAGAACTGCTGTGGGCTCTCCTCCTGCTCACAGTATTCACAAAATGTTGAAACCAAAATTATAAAAATGTCTGTTGTGAGGATAAAGAGGCACTTGGCAATTAGAAAATAGAATGGTATAACTGCCATTTTTCTGCAACACATAGTTACTGAAAAGGGAAACAAAGTTGTGCTTAGAAAAATGAATGCTCTCCTATTCCTGTGTTTCTGCTAATTTTCTACTAATCTCTGTGTATATTCCTGGCCATATTTGCATTATATATTTTTTTGTTTAGGGAAAAAATACCTATTAATATACCTGTAAAAGACTACTTCTCTCACATAGTTTTGGAATACATGAATAGTATTTGAACAATATTTGACTTAACGTTTGTGGCATGGAAGGATAATGTTCATTTACATGCACAGGATTATGTCCTTTTGTATTCTACTATGGTCCATTTTGATAATAAATTAAGAAAAGTGACCAAAAATATTGCTCATTTCTTCACTCATTGATTTGTTAACAATATTCATGGACTATTTGTTAGGTCTATATAATATTCTTTTGAACTTCTTAAGATTTTGATAATGTTTAAAATGCATTAACTGTATTATAACAATGGATAAGATACTAAGATTAATTTAGTTACCATCAAAATATGCAATGCATTTCCTAGGTTTTGGAAGCTTCTACAATGCTATGTTATTCAAACCCAATTCAAATACTATACTTTGGTATTTTAATCATAAAAAAAAAAACGAAGGTATTATCAGAGCATGTGATAATCAGAGGAATTCAGAAACATTTCAGTTTCTTATTTGTATGCATTGCACTGACAAATTAAGAGAAAACACATTCAAGGCTTTACAGCATGGAGAAAAACAAACTCTTAACGAAACCATCATCATTTATATAAATTATAAGTGGTACATTAGAAAGTGAAATAATTTTCTGCCAAGTCAGGGATGTGTGTGTGTGAAATCTGTTCTTTCCATTTTTTATGACTTTCATTCAAGCAGATAGTAAACTCAGCCTACTTGCCCCAGGGGAATTTCGAGGCAGGCAAGAGAGCAAAGTCCGCAAAATCCTTCCTTTCCTGGCTTTTTGTTTCAAAGGTTGAAACCATGGAAAGTGTATAGTTAGGTTATGCGGCTCTAAGTACAAGAGAGGAAATAAGGACCCATGAGAGAAACCAAGAATGACTTATGGTATTTCCTGCTAACCCAATATAATAGCGACTTGGAACTATAAATTATGAGGACAAATTTTTGAAAGCTTGTGTCTGTGATTTGAGATTTATACTTGCTATTTTATCCTTAATGTGAAATATGTGTCTTTTCTTAAAGAGTTTTAAAGACCTATGCATTTCACAAAAATGACAAAGTGAGAATTAAAATAGAACCCAAGACAGTCATTTATACATAAAAAATATGAGCCAAATCTTATTCATATATATGTTTTCTAGTATTATATCGTTCACCAAGATAGCCTTGAGTCATGCAAAGCAAACTTCTTAAAACCAGATAGCACAAAATAATATGATTTATATTAAATTAAACTATCATTGTTTGGGGCCCTATAAAAATGATCATTATATTTCTTTGTTTCCAATCAGGTCTATGTTGAAATTTTATGTACCAAAATATATTCCATGTCTGCTCATAGTACTTCATGCAATTGACAAATATTTTTAGAAAACTTCTCTACAAAATGATTTCATATAACATCGATCTACTCTGTTTTACTTTTATTCAATACAATATCTAAGCCTTGATCCTTTTAAGTATTTGAATTGATAAATACATTTCTCTTAATGCTTTTATAATTAAAATAATTACTAAATACAACAGTCTAACACTTGCAAAAGGGCTTTTTATTTTATATTCTATATCGTGCTATTTGAAAATTTTGGTTTCTCAATATATTTTCAAAATATTTTACAGCCAAAATTACCAAAAACCTTTTTCTAACAGAGTAATTTGTAAAGTGAAATCAGCTAGTGATTAATTAGAATTATATTCTTTCAAGCTCATCTGCTATAAATCTTTGCTTTTTTTCTTTTGTTATAAATTTTCTGCACTAGATTTAAGATTATGTTTGTGGACATTTTATACATAGTATATTTTAATCATGTTACAGATACTTTATCAGCATCTACTGCATAAATGTTATATATTCATTTATTTTACCAAATTTTTGCAGATAAAGCTTGATAAGAAGGAATAAAAAAGTATACTTAAAAGTAATCCCATGCATTTTAGAATCAAGTTTCTATAATGCTGTTTCATTAGTTTTAAATGATTTAGCTTCCAAATCCTCAGTCATTTCCAAAGAATTACTTTAATACTAGCTATAACCAATGTGTACTTCTTTTAACATTTAAGAATAAAGTAAAATATTTGTAATGTGTTTCCTGTTATAGCAGTCATTCTGCAAATTTAGCTATATGTAAGAATGACCACGAGAGCTCTTAAAATTCAGATTTCTTGGGCCCACTCAGAACTATGAAATCAAAATCTGTAATAATGGGGCTAAAGAAATCTTTATTTATTTTATTGC